AGCCTCGACCTGCTGGGCTCCGGCGATCCTTCCGCCTCAGCCTTCCGAGTAGCCAGAATTACAGGCATGCGCTACCACGGTTTGATACCTTTTAAGACTATTTTTCAGGGGAGGATTTTAGATGTGGCCCTGAAACTCAATCTTTTGCTTATTTATGTATTTATTATTTTTATTCACAGTGTGCCTCTTAGACAAAGGAGCTAAATCTTGAAGACTGAAAAGTTAGACCTGGAGTCTGAAGCTCAGATGCCTGTAGGGCCAGGCAGGCCGAGTATGGGAATGAAGCAGGTAGGACAGGGAGCTGCCAGCCTCCAGGCTCCAGCTGGCCGTGCGGGAGCCGGGCTCTGAGTGGCCAGGGGAAGCATGTGGTTCCCTGTGGAACCTCCATCTTAAAAGCTGGAAATGTTAAATAACTATTAAAATAGAGGGGCACACTCAATCTGTCAGAGTCAAATCTTGCCTTCAGGCTGCCAGTTTTCTGAGTTAGCTCCTGAACACAAGGGCCATATTAGTCACATGGAAACGGCACTTGCACAGGCCGGGCCTGGGAAGGGAGCCTGGCCTGGGAGCTGCCCATGATTTGGTCTGGTTGGCATGAGGGAGAGAAAGCCGGAGACATTCATGTCAGGGGGCCAGAGAGCAATGTCAGGCTGAGATGTGGGTGTAAAGCAGCGCCACACATACCATGGGCCTTGTGTGCTAGTTCACATCACGGCTGCTATAAGGGGGCAGATGCCTGCACGGTGCCCTCAGCGCGAGGGTCTGGGTGAGAGCAGGTGCCTCGCCCCTGTAGTTGTGCTGCTGTACACATCAACATGATGGGCGGTGGGGATGGACAATCAGCTGTATTAATTTATACAACAAGGCAAATACCATCTGGAATTAGGAAAAAATTCCAATTTTTATTCATAAAATTATTAAAATTGCAAAGTAGACTTACAGAGCCACAGATGAATAACAAAACAGGAGGGAAATGTTCTAGAGACTTTTTTTTTGAAGAGTTCCAAAGAAATATACACTAGGTTAAAAGCCTACAGCTAAATCATAGTACACAACAGGCTATATTCATTCCTGCATCTTCTCAATAAGTTCTTCCTTGTATTTGCCTTTCTCTTTTCCTACTTGTCGAGATTTGGCTTTGCGCTCAAGAATTTTCTTCCGATCTTTGTCCAGTTTTAGCCTGGTGATAACTACCTGTTAGGAGTGAGAAACAGAGCTTTACTGGTTTTCTAAGTGGAAAAGGACTTAGAACCACCACCATCCTGTACAGGGAAGCTTCCCTTGCCAACTGCAGCGGGGTTCTTCATCTGCCCACTGCCCACCCTCAGTGGCCTCTGAAGCTCTCAGGAGACCATTTAAATGGGTTAGTGACACACAGTATCATTTGGGTTGGGAAAATTTGCTAATCATACCTTGGCTGGCAAGTGTATTGCTGAAAAGATATATACATTCCCATCAGCCACAGGGCAATGCTGAGATCACAAGGATCAGCAACACTTATCTATGAATGTATCACATTATCATGGGCATCCCCAAAATATACGTATCTATTATATATCAATACAAAAATAAAATTTCTAAATAAAAAGGGATAAATAAGATCCCAACCATTCTGCCCTTAACAATCTGAAACTATGGAAGGAGAAAAAGACTCTATTAACAAATATAAAACTGGAAGTGCAAAGGAGGAACAGAAATATTCTACCAGGTGGGCCGGAGGGCTGCAGGAGACATGCTTTCACTTCTCTGAGTGTTATTCAGTGGGGAAGTGACTCCTGCATGCCTGCAGGCCTCTTGCTACCAGCTTAAAAACAGAGTCATCTCAAGGATGGTAAATGAGACAAGAAAAGAATGTGGATCCTTCAGGCAATCATAGAGCCACAGAATCAATCAGGCCCCCTGGCCTTCCCCTGGAGGTCCTGACCTCAGCCCCCATGCAGTCACCATCAATAGTAATGTCACACCAAAGGGCTACCACTACCACTCAGTCCCAGACCACACCTTGCTCGGGTGGATGCCCACATGGACGGTAGTGCCGTTAGCCTTCTCTCGCTGCACCCGTTCGATGTAGATGACGTATTTCTTTCTGTACACCTGGACCACCTTGCCAATCTGCTGACCTTTGTAGTGCCCTCGAACCACCTAAGAAAAGTACAAAAAAGAATTGCCCCCCCATTTGTAATGCATGATGAACACTATGACGAAGCTAATCATCAGGAACACATAGGCTAAAGACACAACTCTTTTTTTTTTTTTTTTGAGTTGGAGTCTCACTCTGTCCCCCAGGCTGGAGTGCAGTGGCCGCTCCTGGCCACCGGAGCCTTGACCTGCTGGGCTCTGGCGATCCTTCCGCCTCAGCCTTTCAAGTGGCTGGAACTACAGGCACGCGCTACCACGCCCAGCTGATCTTTATTTATTGTAGAGATGAGGTCTCACCAAGTTGCCCAGGCGGGTCTTGAACCTGCGGG